ACTTCTCCAACGTCTACGCCCACGTCTTCAACGGCTGTAACAAACACGATCGCATGCACTGCATGCTCCTAGCTCCTAGGCACTAGCTAGTCAGTTTGTTAGTTAGTTAGTGGGCTCCTGTACGTGAGATGTAACCTGTATATATGAGTGTGGATGAATACAGAGTGATGTGTTCGACCCAATCCTTGTCTTTCTTCTCCTACAATCTCGCCTGAAATAGGTTAGTCTTTTGATGGTTCAATAACATCTTTTGATTTTTCAAACATTCAAGCATGTTCCATATGCCACTTCATTTGGTTATTAACTGGTTCGGTTAAAGGTTTCATTTTTCATTACATTCATTTGAGTTAACCTGATTATTCCCAAGCTGTGTCAGATGTTCCACGAGATGGTCCAATGGTCCTGTTAGTTCTGTTTCATTTTCCTGTTTACATGTAGCGGTGTGCTTTGTTAGTTCTGTTCCATGTTCCTGTTTACATGTACAAACGCTAATTTCCCGTTTGAATCCTCTTAATTAGTAAGGTGTGTTCAGAAGCTTGGATCCTGAGCCATAAGAACTCAAGAAAGGCATCATACATTCCTTTTGCAATACACTGACAACTTCGGATGCGAGTCATGCTGAAGAGTGTCTTCCTCTGTCGGCTAGCATTGAAAGCATTTTTACTCCAGTTGATGTCTACACAATTTCTGGCGTATTGAATGGCATGGTTGCTTTGCAGGGCATGTCTCAGAATCCACCTTGTCAAGAAGTGGGAGCCAAAGATCTATGTGGAACTCAGTGGCATTTTCGTCACATATTTGAGCATTTAGCTTGAATACCCTTTAAACTTTCTGTCGTTGTGTTGTTGTTTTTGTGTAGCACTTCATGTCACAATTGAATGTTGAATTCTTATCAGGTGCAGAAATTTGCATCATATACTGATTCATTACTTTATGAGTATGTGTGAGCTTTTCTCCCTCTGTCTGGCTCTATCTCATGCTTTCTGGTGTTTTGTGTTTCAGATGCCCTAATCTCTTTGTATTAGAGTGTGATTTATTTAGCTCTTTTGAAATTTGTAGTGAAACTTTTAACATGCAATGTCCATGTGTTACAAGGTAACAATAAAGCAAGTGAAATGAGCGTTTGCCAACCTAGCACCGTCCAATTTCCTCTCAAGAGGCGCCACAAGGTGGCGCCCCAACCGCTAGTAAACAACCATTCTCATGTCAAAATCCTCGTCGCTAAGCGAGGTATCGGTGGCTCCACTCACCGACCGGAGGCCGGTGACGTGAGGAGGCAGGTGCGCCGCTGAACGTCGCTTTGTGGGTCCTTGTGAAATCCTATGTCCAAGTGGCAAGATGACAGACAGCCAAGATATTTGAGTGGCATTGCTGACTGTACACCGGAAAAGGACGTGCGCCATGAACCTGCCGCGCTGCTTCATGTGAGCGTATGCGTCTGAGTGACGCGCCTATATAGGGCTTTCCCCGCCGCATGCCCTTCTTCTCAGTTCTCACCCACCCAAACACCGCCGCTGAAACCTCCAGTTCTCAGCACACATCGACCTGCTCGACCGTCTCCACTAGCGCTCGTCCAAGATGGACGTCGCCGACGCCGCCTCCCCGTCTGGCCAGGAGCAGCAGGGGCACAGGACGGTGTCGTCTGAGCCGCCGAAGCGACCCGCGGGGCGGACCAAGGTACATGAGACGCGCCACCCGCTGTACCGCGGCGTGCGGCAGCGGGGCCGGGTCGGGCAGTGGGTGTGCGAGGTGCGCGTGGCCGGGGTGAAGGGCTCCAGGCTCTGGCTCGGCACCTTCACCACCGCCGAGATGGCGGCGCGCGCGCACGACGCCGCCGTGCTCGCGCTCTCCGGCCGGGCTGCCTGCCTCAACTTCGCCGACTCCGCCTGGCGCATGCTGCCCGTGCTCGCGGCCGGGTCTTTCGGCTTCGGCAGCGCGCGCGAGATCAAGGCCGCCGTCGCCGTCGCCGTCGTGGCTTTCCAGAAGGAGCAGATTATCCCAGTCGCCGTCGCCGTGGTGGCGATCCAGAAGCAGCAGATTATCCCAGTCGCTGTCGCCGTCGTGGCGATCCAGAAGCAGCAGATTATCCCGTCGCCGTCGTGGCGCTCCAGAAGCAGCAGATTCCAGTGGCCGTCGCCCTCGTGGCGCTCCAGGAACAGCAGGTCCCAGTCGCCGTCGCCGTCGTGGCGCTTCATCGGCAGCAGGTTCCAGTCGCGTGCCCGGGAACCTCCGGCCCGGGCAGCGCTCTGTTTTACATGTCGTCCAGCGACTTGTTGGAGCTCGACGAGGAGCAGTGGTTTGGCGGCATGGAGGCCGGGTCGTACTACGCGAGCTTGGCGCAGGGGATGCTCGTGGCACCGCCGGACGAAAGAGCGAGGACGGAGGACGGCGAGCAGAGCGGCGTCCAGACGCCGCTATGGAGCCACTTGTTCACCTAATCTAGCAGTGTAAAGTTGTACTCCCTCTGTCCGGAATTACTTGTGCCGAAATGGATTAAAATGAATGTATTTAGAACTAAAATACGTCTAGATACATCAATTTCTCAGACAAGTATTTTCGGACGGAGGGAGTACCATTATTAGATAGTTGTGTTCTTTTCAATTTGAGGAGAAACAAAGTAGCATCTTGTTCCTTCGTTGTACTCATTGTACTATAAGCTCCCGGTTTGAGTATTTGTGAGGAAGGGGATTGCCTATTACACCAATTATTATTGGTCAAATTGATCGCCTTCTTCCTGATTTGGGAAAAACTGAGTAGGCGGTGTGTTCCTTCATTCATAGTAGTAGCACTTGTCAAATTCCCGGTTTCTACTTTTGGGCGAAAGGCAAGATTGTTCAATACATCAATTATTGGTACAGAACTCGAGAGTACATCGTGCACTGCACTCCAGGAATCCATATCAAATATTTTATGAGAAGAAAACGACACAATGTCGAAGGACGTCACTGTTGATTGACAGCTTGTGACAATGATGCATTTGGACGGCTTGCAAGTGGACTCCAAAACTTTACTCCAGAAAAATGGAGAAAGAACGGACAACCAGATTATGCACGCAAGAACGAACGACACAATGTCCAGCCTGTTTGGTGTTGCTCTGCTCGCTAAAGTTCAATTCAGCTCCATCAATTCCACTTTGCAGCATGCAACTCCACCATAGATTAGGTGATCCTGTTTGGATTTCAGCTAGATCCGACTTCAAGAATTGAAATTTTGGTGAAAAAGGTCTATCGTGTCCCTGGATATTTTAGAACGATGTTTTGACGTATGGTTTGAGTGTTGTATGCATGAATATACGTTGGATTAAAAGTATATAACGTAATGTCAACAAAAACAATTAATACATTCAAATGATTAAAAATGATGTCCACTAATATATATAGATAATTATTTGCAAAAGTATATATATAGAGAGATAATTAAAAGGTTTACATGATGTCCAAAGAATATACTATGATACCACATACTAGTTCCAACTAATTTCAAGAGTGGTACCTACGCAACACAGAATGTGCCCATAGTCGGATCATTGGGTGCCCCAGTTGATCTACCCGAGGCAGCGACAAAGTTGTCATACCATTCCTCTATTGCAAGTATATAGTGAGGATAACTGTGGAACCAACCAAACTCCAAATCATCACCCTTATGCTGATGAATAAAGTTGTGAAGAACCAAATTAAGTAGCAAGAACAATCATTTTTTGCTTCAACGACGCAATATTTTGTAAAGAATCTGACACTTCATTTTTAGCTCAATATGACCAATCAATAATGTCGTGCATAGATGATTGAATGTGATTGAATTTTTCCTTAGGAGTATTGGGCCCACACCTCTATGCCATTTCAGCATATGTTACCTCTTACCCTTGTAAGGAGCGAGGTATCCTGAACAATTGGGGTATCCCACATCGACAACATAGTATTTGCCTACAAATGGAGGAAATGATATGAGCTATTGATATGTCTCCATCGTATCTATTTTTTCAAACACTTTTGCCTTTTTTTGGACTCTAATTTGCATGATTTGAATGAAACTAACCCAGATAGACGCGGTTTTCAGCAGAACTACCATGGTGTTGTTTTTGTGAAGAAATAAAATTTCTCGGATTGAGCTGAAAATTTACGAAGAATTTTTCTAAAATATATAAAAAATAATGGCGAAAATATCTGCCGGAGCGGGGCCACCAAAGGCCACAAGCTCAGGTGGCGCCCCCACTAGAGAGCGCCATCCAGGCTTGTGGGCCCCTCGAGCCCCCGTTTGCCCTACCTCCAAGTCCATAAGTATAATCTCACGGAGAAAAAAATCGAAGCAAAAGTTTCATTGCGCTTTACGATACGGAGCCGCCGCCACCTCCCGTTCTTCATCGGCAGGGCTTATCTTAAGTCCGTTTGGGGCTCTGAATAGGGGGATTCTGTTGGGGAACGTAGTAATTTCAAAAAAATTCCTACGCACACGCAAGATCATGGTGATGCATAGCAACGAGAGGGGAGAGTGTCGTCCACGTATCCTCGTAGACCGTAAGCGGAAGCGTTATGACAACGCGGTTGATGTAGTTGATCGTACGTCTTCACGATCGAATGATCCTAGTACCGGACGTACGGCACCTCTGCGATCTGCACACATTCAGCTCGATGACATCCCACGAACTCACGATCTAGTAGAGCTTCGAGGGAGAGTTCCGTCAGCACAACGGCGTGATGACGGTGTTGATGAAGCTACCGACGCAGGGCTTCGCCTAAGCACCGCTACAATATGACCGAGGTGGATTGTGGTGGAGGGGGGCACCGCACACGGCTAAAGATCAATGGTCAACTTGTGTGTCCATGGGGTGCCCCCCTCCCCTGTATATATAGGAGTGTAGGAAGGGGAGGGTCGGCCCTCTACTATGGCGCGGCCTGGAGAGTCCTACTCCCACCGGGAGTAGGATTTCTCCCCTTCCATGTAGTAGGAGTAGGAGAAAAGGAAAGGGAAGAGAGAAGAGAAGGAAGGAGGGGGCGCCGCCCCTCCCCCTAGTCCAATTCGGAATAGGCCTTGGGGGGCGCGCGGCCTACCTCTCTCTCTTTCTCTCCCTTAAAGCCCAATAAGGCCCATATACTCCCCGGTGAATTCCCGTAACTCTCCGGTACTCCGATAAATACCCGAACCACTCAGAACCTTTCCGATGTCTGAATATAGCCTTCCAATATATCGATCTTTACGTCTCGAACATTTCAAGACTCCTCGTCATGTCCCTGGTCTCATCATGGACTCCGAACAAACTTCGGTCATCAAATCACATAACTCATAATATAAATCATCACTGAACGTTAAGCGTGCGGACCCTACGGGTTTGAGAACTATGTAGACATGACCGATACACGCCTCCGGTCAATAACCAATAGCGGAACCTGGATGCTCATATTGGCTCCTACATATTCTACGAAGATCTTTATCGTCCAAACCGCATAACAACATACGTTGTTCCCTTTGTCATCGGTATGTTACTTGCCCGATATTCGATCATCGGTATCAGCATACCTAGTTCAATCTCGTTACCAGCAAGTCTCTTTACTCGTTCCGTAATGCATCATCCCGTAACTAAATCATTAGTCACATTGCTTGCAAGGCTTATAGTGATGTGCATTACCGAGAGGGCCCAGAAATACCTCTCTGACAATCAGAGTGAAAAAACCTAATCTCGATCTATGCCAACTCAACAAGTACCATCGGAGACACCTGTAGAGCACCTTTATAATCACCCAGTTACGTTGTGACATTTGGTAACACACAAAGTGTTCCTCCGGTATTCGGGAGTTGCATAATCTCATAGTCATAGGAACATGTATAAGTCATGAAGAAAGCAATAGCAACAAACTAAATGATCAAGTGCTAAGCTAACGGAATGGGTCAAGTCAATCACATCATTCTCTAATGATGTGATCATGTTAATCAAATGACAACTCATGTCTATGGCTAGGAAACTTAACCATCTTTGATTCAACGAGCTAGTCAAGTAGAGGCATACCAGTATATCTGGCCATGGGCTGGGCCGGGCCGGGCTTCGGCCTAGGCCCCATCAAGCCCTAGGTCTGTTTCCCAGGCCCAGGCCCTCCCAGGCCCACGAAAATACTATGTTCCCCAGGCCCAGGCCCTCCCAACACAGAAAGCCCGAAAGTCCTAAGCCCTCCCAAAGGCCCTCGACGTTGTAACATAAAAACAACACATCAAATAGCACCAAAACAGCAAATAGTATGTTAAAGACAAACAACAACACCAAAATAGTAGCACATTAGCACCAAAAGTGCATAAAGAGCAGCACAGCAGCACCAAAAGTGCATAAAGAGCAGCACAACAGCACCAAAACAGCAACACATCAGCAAAACAACACTAAAGAGCATTGTTTTCACATCAAATAGTATCAAACATTCCAGTTTCGAGTTTCTAGAAACACAAGTGCATAAATATATTATTACATGCCAGATGGCCAATTTATAGAACCAAAAATAAGGACCAGTAGCTGCTGGTTGCCATCTCGACATGCCTTCTCCGAATCTTCTACTCATCTCAGTGCTCTAGCAAGAACTCTACAAAATGCAATAAATATCAGGTTAGCTAAAGTACATGTTGAACTTGACAAGTTGACATGAACAAAGAATATGGATGTTACATTCATCATCATCAGAAGAATTTTCATCATCTAGCTTAACCACTTCTGCCTTTCTCTTATTACCTACAACAACTACACCAACATGTTAGCTATAAAATCTAAAGTACATAGCATGAAGAAATAAACAAAGTAAGTTAAACTATATACCATCTTTCTTCTCCAACTTGCAGCGATACCAATCTTGCAAACACATCAAGGCCTCAACCGTCTTTGGTTTAAGTGAGGCTCGGCTCAGGGTTATAACCTTCTAACTCAAGTTGAAAGCAGATTCTGATGCAACACTTGACACGGGAACAACAAGGATATCACGTGCCACTCTTGCTAGCTGCGGATACCTAGCTGCAGACTTGCTCCAGTAATCCAAGATATCAATGTTCTCATTCAACCTCTTGGTAGGTTCAGCCAAGTACAATTCCAATTCAGATTTCTCTTCAACTGTGCTCGTGCTTTCCACATACTGATCATAGTCAGAAAAGGCACCAAGTCCACAAGTGCTTGACATACTAGTTTTGGGTAAGTTGTCATGAACAGGTACAACACTACCATATTCATTAAATAAAGAAGTCAAGGTACTTCTAACATCAGCAAGACGACGCTTGGCATCATTCTCTTCATACAGCTTGGAGTAGGAATAAGCCAAGAACTTGAACTTAATACGGGGATCAAGAACAGCAGCACAAGATAGAAATACGCTATAGTCAGACCAATATTTCATGAACTTTTCTCTCATAGCAAACAACATTGGACCCATGTAGCTATTTATACCAGCGGTAGCCTCAATAATAGCAGTATGGACTAGATAAACATT